TGTGTATGTGTGCATGTCTATATGTATGTGTATATTTGTGTGTGCTTGTGTACATATATGTGTGTCTGTCTGTATGTTTGTGTGCATGTGTATATGTATATGTATATGAGTGTATGTGTATATTTATATTTAGTTTATTTGGGGGGGGGGGGTTAAGTCCATTCTGCTGGGTTTTTGTGTGTTTTTAGGGGTGATGGACACTCATTTGGTGTCAATTCGTCCAGTGGTTTTTGAGTTCTGTTAATCCCACAAACGAACATTACATTTTTATGTATATAGATTATTCACAGTACTTACATTCCGCCCTTCTTACCTCGAAGGGGACTCAGGGCGGATCATAGAACACATATACGGTGAACATTCAATGCAGATTATACAATAACAAGGCAGACAACAGATAGAAAGTATTTATATAAGGTTTTTCCCATCTTTCGGCATCTTTGGAGGCTGTGCTCAGTTCCGGCCACACGGGGTGCTGTTGCTCCATCTCCTTGACGAAGAGTTTTCTTTGTTCGTAAACTTTCCTCTTTTTTCTGATCGAAACGCCGTGCCTAAAATACTTCCCTGCTTAACGCGGCTTCTATTCATCTACTCACAATGCTGTTTGCAGTCCGCTAGGTGGACAGGGAGCTGGGCTGAAGGTCAGAAGCTCACCCTGAGCCAGCTTCCCATATAGTTATTTCCCATATAATTTGTATTGCGAAGATATCAGGAAGGGTACAAGAATGGATATAGAACAGGGGCATTTTAAACATCTTACATCTTTGTCTTCTTCCAATGTTATCTAATATAAAAAAAATGTATTATTATTATTATTAGTAGTAGTAGTAGTAGTAGGTAAAGGTTTCCCCTGACATTAAGTCTAGTCATATCTGGGACTCTGGTGCTCATCTCCATCTCTAAGCTGAAGAGCCGGTGTTGTCCGTAGACACCTCCAAGGTCAAGTGGCCACTGGTAGGATTGTATGAAGTGCCATAACCTTCCCGCCGGAGCGGTACCTATTGATCTACTCATATGTTTTTGAACTGCTAGGTTGGCAGAAGCTGGGGCTAACAGTGGGAGCTCACGCTGCTACCTGGATTTGAACCTGTGACACCACTAGGAGCTCCATTTGTACTTACTTCTTACTTAGGCGATCCCTCGTTGTCCGAGTAGGATAATCTTCCAGGGTGGGTCCATAGGTGACTATGGAGCCCTATTCTTGATCTGCATCTTCTCCCTTCCGCAGTGAGGGCAGTGGTTTCCAGGTGGAAGGCGGTCCCAGTCGGAGTTGGTTTGACGCGCCTTCCTCTTGGCACGTTTCTCTCTTTCGCCCTCCATTCATGCCTCTTCAAATTCTGCAGCACTGCTGCTCACAGCTGACCTCCAGCTGGAGCGGTCAAGGGCCAGGGCTTTCCAGTTCTCAGTGTCTATGCCAGAGTCTTTAAGGTTGGCTTTGAGCCCATCTTTAAATCTCTTTTCCTGTCCACCAACATTCCATTTTCCGTTCTTGAGTTCGGAGTAGAGCAGCTGCTTTGGGAGACGGTGGTCGGGCATCCGGACAACATGGCTGGTCCAGCGGAGTTGATGGCGGAAGACCATGGCTTCAATGCTGGTGGTCTTTGCTTCTTCCAGCACACTCACATTTGTCCGCCTGCTTTCCCAAGAGATTTGCAGGATTTTTCGGAGGCAGCGCTGATAGAATCATTCCAGGAGTTGCATGTGACGTCTGTAGACAGTCCACATCTCGCAGGCATAGAGCAGGGTTGGGAGGACAATGGCTTTACAGACAAGCCCCTTGGTCTCCCTACGGATGTCCCAGTCCTCAAACACTCTCTGCTTCATTCAGAAAAATGCTGCACTCGCAAAGCTCAGGTGGTGTTGTATTTCATTGTCAGTGTTGACGTCTGTAGACAGTCCATGTCTCGCAGGCGTATAGCAGGGTTGGGAGGACAATGGCTTTATAGACAAGCACCTTGGTCTCCCTACGGATGTCCCAGTCCTCAGACACTGTCTGCTTCATTCGGAAAAAAGCTGCACTCGCAGAGCTCAGGCGGTGTTGTATTTTGGTGTTAATGTTGATGTCTGTAGACAGTCCACGTTTCGCAGGCGTATAGCAGGGCTGGAAGGGGAATAGCTTTATAAACAAGCTCCTTGGTCTCCCTACGGATGTCCTGGTCCTCAAACACTCTCTGCTTCATTTGGAAAAAAGCTGCACTCGCAGAGCTCATGCAGTGTTGTATTTCGGTGTTAATCTTGACATCTGTAGACAGTCCACGCTGCACTTGCAGAGGTCATACGACTACTACTATCTCTACTACTATTACTACTACTACAATTGGAGCAGTCGAGTGTGACTGCTCCATTTGTAGTAGTAGTAATAGTAGTAGTAGAGGTGGTAGTAGTATAAGAGTGTTTATAGAACAAGGACATTTTAAACATCTTACATCTTCGTCTTCTTCCATTGTTATCTAATACGAACCAGGTTTCTATTATTATTATTATTATTATTATTATTATTATTATTATTATTATTTCCCATCCAATTTGCCTGAGCGTCCTCTTCTTCCCTTCCCGCTTCTTCAGCCAGGAAACCTCACACGGCCTCCCTTCTCCTCTCCGTCGGGGAATCGGCCGAGTTTGAGGTGGTGTTCCACCCCAGCCTGACCCAGCGGCTGGAAGGGCAGATCCGCCTCTCCATCCTGGACAACCAGTACGAAGAGACCCGGATCCAGATGGTGGGCGAGGGCTACCAGGAGGACGTCACGCTGGACAACATCCGCAGCTTGGCGGCCGACGGCGAGGCCGGGAGTGTCGAGGCGCAGCTGGAGGAGAGCACCGCAGAGAGTAAGGCAGAGAGCCTGCATGGGAGAGCGGAGTTTGCAGCTCATAATGTATAGTTTGCAAGCTGTCTAGGGCCTTGTTCAGGCAGTCCGGTCTCTCTCCCCACAGCTGCCAGGTTGGACCATATCTGGTTTGGGGACTGCCATGTTGGGAAGCCCTACCAGGCCGCGTTCACCATCACCAACCACAGCAAGACCGACGCGATGAGATTCGAGTGGCCTGCCCTGAACCCGCATTTGACCTTCTCCCCACAGGTAAGGGGCCCGCCTGCTACTCCGTGCCCATGCTTCTGGGTGTTCAAGTCCAGCCTGTGATTGTGTGATTGTGTTTCAGGATAATGTCAATGAGGTTCGAGATGAGTTTCAAGATGGCAATGGTTTGGTCAGTGATATTGATGCAGAGAATGACCAGGAGTTCTCTGTCGTTTCCCATGAGAATGTCCCTGAGGGGTGTGGGGATGATGGTGTGCTTTCCGAATTGTTACCAGAGAGTTCTCATGAGAGAGAACATGAAAATAGCTCAGCACCTGCAGAAATAAATGAGCAAGTAGACATTTTTTATTTTATTTGTCGTGTCAGAGCAACCAGTCCATTTTATTACATTTCTAACAGAACAAAGCAAACAAATAGACAAAATACAAAACTTGTGAGTTTGGTAGTTGGTTAA